ATACGAACTTTTCTCCAGTGAATTTTAGTGGGAGCACACCATTTCTTTGTTTCATGTTTCATATTTAATCTTTAAAAAAGAAAGCATTTCTGTATTTGGCATTCATTTCAATGTTGCTGATTGATGTGATGAGTTAGTTATTCAGCCATGAAATGTTACTGTTGTTTTGAACATAGCATAAAGGTCACCAAAATAATTTTACTTTTATAATTGACTGTATATATTATGAAAACAATCTTAAAAATAAAAATTAACTGAAAATTTTCAGCAAGTTTTTATGCATACATTTATTGAATTACAGATTTTTTTTTTTGGTAGGTCATAGGTCTTGAACTCTGGGCCTGGGTACTGTCCCTGAGCAATTCAGCTAAAGGCTAGCACTCTATCGTTTGAGTCACAGTGCCACTTCCTGTTTTTGGTGGATAATTGGAGATAAGAGTCTCTGGATGTTCCTGTTGGGGCCAACTCAGCTTCCTGAGTAGTTAGGATTACAGACATGAGCCACTGGGGCCAGCAAGATGGTAAACTTATTTTATCATCAGATATTTAGAATGTATGAAGAAAATTGCTCAAGAATTAGGTTGATTAAATCACACATGTCATTACTTCATAGTAAAAGTAAGAGGAAAATGAAACAATTACTATATTATATTCACTAGTTTCATTGGGTAAATAGAAACCTATTCAAGCATGTTATACACAAAAGAAAGGATTAATGGGCCTTTAAAAAAAAACAAATACCTTTATGAGTGCATAGTCTTTAAATTGCTTCATAATATCCAGCCCAGAAATTTAATATCATGACAAGTTATTAAACTTATACCAATAGTGAGATGACATTTTCAGTGTCTACTACAAATAATTTTTTCATCTATTTTAGAACAGTTTTCCACAAATACCTAATAATTCCCATGATTTCTGAAATACAAGACACAAGTGTGTTGTTTTATGTATATCACAGAAGGCAACTTGTGTATTTTTTTACTATTTCTATATAAAGACACATTGTTTCTATGTGACTAAAATAAAGCATTAACAATGACAAAATTCATTTAAATCTCAAAATCATAGCAATTAGAGACTGTGATATCAAGAAAACATGCTATAGATGAATAAAAGATGAGAATATTGCTATAAAACAGTATTTTGGACCTATAAATGTATACTGTACTACTACATTAATCCCATTTTTATAAGAAGTTTAAATGTGTTCATATGAATTGATAACATGTTTTTAATATAAAAATATGTTTTAATGTGGAAAAATAAATCGTGTTGCGTAATGAAGAATTGTGAAGGCATTTTCCACGTTGTTCAAATATATAATGTTAATCTTAATTCATGTTTGTTTAAAGTCTAACAAATCTGCAATCACAACTTATCATGCTGAATCAAGACATTCTAAATATATTGAACAGTTTTTTCTATAAGGATAAGTTTTGGTGTGGGTTTTCAACAAGGTGTAACATATAAGGGTATTCTCTTTCTACACATTTTGTAGATTAAATATTGTATTTTCTTCCCTGGCTAACAGGTTACACAATCATTTTATTTACTGCCTCAATTAAGATTGACTGCATGATAGTTACATCAGATGAGAAATTATCTTAACCTTTCTGAATCATAAAGGCCTTGGTATGACTGACTTTGTTTCCCTCTACTCATCTTCATAGAAAAGCTTCTTGAAAGCATTTATGAGTAAAGACTAAATTTCTTGATACATACAAACCTCAATTCATTTCTAATTTTTTTCTCAGCAACTTCAGCAAACCTTTCTGCAATATGGATATTTCACATGCTACTCAATTTAATGCACAACATTCTGACTTTGAACCTCTTATTCTTGGTATTATGAACTGTTCCTAACTTCCAAGATAACACATTCAAGTATTTCTAAAAACTCCACAACACCTTATGCCTTTGGGACAGATAATGAAGCTTGTGTTTATTTTCTTCATATTCACTGGAACTCAGTTCTTGACCTTACTTTCAGTAACTCAAAAAGCACTCCATTGATATTTATCCTGTACTATTCACTTTTCTAGCTTGGAGAAAACATAAATAAGTAACACAGAGAGCAACACAGTGAGGAGTGCACACAAGCACACCTAATGTCTATCCCTTTAGTTATGTAGATGCAGTGTTCCTCTTCTACTGTGTTGTCACCTCAATACTCATATCTAACCAGCTATTTGGTATCAGATTTCACTGATGTCATACTTGGCATGCTGTTTTGTCTCTGTTACCTAACCAAATTTTTTTTCTTTTAGAAAATGCATCATATTGAAAAAGAAAACAAATGCTTATTCACTCAAGCAAGAATTCAAAAACTCACCGTTGTCTATTAAATACATTCTATTACACAAGCCATGTCGGTCTATTTACATTATGTACTGAAACTTATTAATAGTTTTCCTTCTCTATATGCACACAGTTTGTCATTCCTTCTTATGAGCAAGAATAAAGTTTATAACAATTATTTGTATAATTTGTCTGCTTACAATTGTTTCTTATCTCTTTTAAAATGTGTGCTAAATTTATTTAAATGTTTTGTAGAAGCTCTTAGTTTGAGTCAAAGGCTTCCCTTTAGCTTTCTCTTTAGACACATACCTTCAAATTCTATTAATTTTTAACAATTTCTTAAAAAGTAGAAGATATTCTGAATACAGAATATTCATTAGTAGTTTTAAAACTAATTTTTATGGCTTAAAAAAATTTCTTTTTGTTCAGTTGTGGGGCCTGAACTCTGGCTCTGGGCGCTGTCCCTCAGCTCTTCAGCTCAAGCCTAGCACTCTACCACTTGAGCCACAGCACCACTTCCAGTTTTTATCTGCTTATTTGGTGCTGAGGAATCAAACCCAGGGCCTCATGCATGCAAGGCAAGCACTCTACCACTGAGCCACTTCCGAGTCCCTAGATTTTGTTTTGTCTATAAATTTCTATTTTCATATTTTCCACTTCACAAAATATTAATCTCCCTTCTTTTTATATACATGTACATTTTGTATATATTTATGTAACTCATTGTGGCAAAGTAATTGTGGCAAACTCATTTGTGGCAAACTCATTGTGTACTGTGTACTGATAAAGTCGGTGGATTTATGCTTTCCACTTCGTATTATGTTCATCATTTTGTTTGTGTGTTTTTGGAACATTTAAGATCCTCTTATTTACTTTTTAAATTATATAATAAATAATAATTAACTATGTCCACATAGTGTGCTACTGAATATAGGGCTTATTCCTTCTATGTATCTTTATTTTATACTAATTTAAAACTTTAATGTTTCAATGCACAATAAAAACAATTAAGGATTTAGGAGGATTGTATGTACCTTTCAAATCATCTTTTGAATACCCTGAGAATGAAAATTAGATTTATATTATATTTCTAAAACTTAAACTGTACATGATTAACCCCAAAATAATGTATAGGTAGTTATTTTATTGCAAACTTACAGAAGAAAATTAATCAATAAATGACAGGATATGTATTACGAGATTTAGAATGAAGTTTAATTATAAAAGGAATCTTACTCATTCAAATCAAATTTAAGAATAAGATACTAAATGTTAAAAACCTCATAAAGTTGGAAAACTCATGATAATGCAAGACATTTATGTTATTTTATTTTCTCTTAAACTGAAAGTTTTGACATCTACAATTTATAGCATATATAATCTATTAACAATGCAAAACCATTTTGAATTTTAAAATGTATGTAAATTATTTTAATCAAAATATTGTGTAAAATTGCTTTCATCCAGGAACAGTTGATTCATGTCTTTATTTCTTTCTAGCTACTTAGGAAGCTGAGATCTGATTATCCAGATTCAAACCTAGCCCAGGCAGGAAAGTCTTTGAGATTATCTCCACAAGACTATCTAAATAACTGGAAATGGATCGGTGGGCCAGGGGACAGAGCCCTAGCTTTGACTAAAAAGAACCTCAGGGACAATGCTCAGGTCCTAAGTTCAAATGACTGGAGTAGCACACATACAATAAAAGATAGATGCATTGTATTTTAGAAAATTATTTTTAAAAAACTTTAAAAATTATATGAAATTTGAAAATTGCAATTCACCTGAGCATTTTTTTATTTTCAAGAATATTTTGTACCTATAATCTTTTATAAAATAATCTAATCAAAGGTATATGAATCAGTATGCTTCTTACAGAGGTTTTGTGTGTGTGTGTATATATATATATATATATATATATATATATATATATATATATATAGTTACACATAAACATACAAAACTTTTAAAAATTTATTTACTAAAGATAATAATTAAGGGAAATGTTTAATAAATTACTAATATAGGCATTAAATCACAGAACTAATGTTATGTTGGACAACTATATATTCTTGCCTCTATAGCATTATTTGAGATAAAGTTTAGTATCGCTCCTATGAAGTTTGATAATACACTAGCATATGGGTATAAAACAATAGAAGGATTCTAATTATCACATGGGAACCCATGATTGGCTTATGAAAAAATATTTAAAGTATTTATGTATTTCCCTGAGATTCTGTATTTAAATCATTGTGAAATTATATTTTGTGGTTCTTTCTCCTTCAATGTGCGACTGATTTTTACGTCTCTCAAATCAGCCCCATTGATAAAGAATGGTGAGCTTATCATCATCTATGACCAAACTAACCAGAATTGGCACACTAGCTCCCACACAGTTGGTAGAAGAGTTGCTTTTTTTTGTTTTGTTTTGCAAAGGTTGCTTCTAGTTTCAAAAACTTTTCAAACTAATTTTCATCTTCTACCTCTCTATCATTTTAAGTATGAATAAAACTTCATAAAATCACCATCACCCTAGCAACTGAGAAGTGTCGACGGTGACATGTCACAATAATGATGATTAGAGAATAGAATTTTTATTTTCCTTGCCAAAATTATGTTTCCCTTATTTAGAAAAATACATAGGTGTTAAAAAGTAAAATTATATTTACAATAAGAAAGTCTATCATTTTGCTTACCTTTAATAATGTTGGGCTTTGGTGGCATGCTGAACTCATAAACTGTTGGCTCAGAATATCCCAATCTATTGGCAGCTGTAATTTGAACTTCATATCCCATGGTCCACTGTAGATGCTCCAAAATAATATGGTCTTTATTTCCTTGCACTTTTTTCTCTAGCCACTGGTCTTCCTTGTCTTTCTACACAGAAGACAAAATATTTTGTAAACATTGATATGTTAAAGAGGAAAGTTTAACAATTAGAATCTCACGAGCACTTTATTGCCACCAATGTTCTTATGTGAACTTGCTATTTTAATTAACACAGCTTAATTTCTAACATTTGTTTACATAAAAATTTCAATGCCTGGGTTAGCCTGAGAATGGTGATTTTATAATAAATTTTTAGTCATTTAGAGGTTTATAATTTACATCTGTAAGTTGTATTTATTATTTTATCAACTTGGATTTTTTCATCATTTTGTGGATTGTTAATGAAAATCTGTTCATTAAAATTATCACCAGGTACAATTATTAAAGTTTATTGGAACAGAAAATGTCTAAGAAGTAATGTCTAGTAATAATTTAAGGATTTAAATTAATATGGTTTCTTTATTATTATAATACTTAATGGCTTATAACAAAACAGTGTGCCAGGAAAATTTAGCATAGAAAAATTAATAGTATTATCTTACCATTGAACATTTGATACTTCAACACAGATACTTCTAAATAAGAGTTTTCTAGCAAATGATATGTGAATTATTTTTTAAGCATTTGAGGGAGGTATCTTTAACATAATAGTATTAAGAGATGAATAGAAAGAGAAAGAGGGCATTTCCTTATCTTCCAGACATGAAAATTTGAGTTAAAAACAAAATGGCAGCTGTTGTCTGATACTAGTATTTTTTCTGAGCGGAAGAATACATGAAGTAATGTCTTCTAGTAACTTCTAGCCATTAGATGAAGACTCCCTGTGGCCAAGGTGGGTTACACTTATCATGTTAAAATATAGAGATGTAGCTGAACCTCCCAAAACATAAGGACTGCATGTGAGTTTTAGCATTTCCTCTATTATTAACAAGGGAAAGGTAGATGATAATAAAATGAGGTAAGTAAAAACTGTCAGTAAATTACACGCACCCCAAATCCTTCTTGCCACAAGAGAACAAATTGATTGGAAAAAAAATAAAACCTTTTCTGGAATTCATGAAATCCATTGGGTGTATTTTCTAAAATGACCCAATGGAAAATAACAAAATTTAATTAAAGATGAGAGAAAAGTGTGCGCCCCCAGTACTGAGCAATTGAGGAGTGTGGGGAAGGATCCACACACTAGGAGGGTAATACAGTCGTGTGTATGCCTGCTTGCCAGACACCTTAGTGTACAAGTTCAACAATAAAGTCTCTACTGTTCTGCACTTTTTATCTCAGAGCTCATTCTCTGAGTTTGGAAAGGAGAGTTTGCTTCCACTCATCTAGCACACTTCTTGAGAGAATAATGAGAAAAAGCAAGTAAAATTGGACATTCCTCCTTAATACTCAAACCACTTTTAGACTTTATTAAGACAAAAGTAATTCTACAGTGGAAACCACTAATGTATTTGATAATAAATCACCATAAGTCCAAATCATGCCTTCCCAAGGCATAGGTGTACATGAAACATAACCTGAATTTAGTAACATACAAAAATGTTTGCTTTAATTTTATATCAAAATACGATATTATCCTCTGTTGAAGTAAATTTTCACAATGTTCTTTACTATGAAAAATAACAATGTTTTCTAGCTATGATAAATTTTAAATTTTAATTATCTAAAATCAAATATGGATATTAAATCACAAATTCATTAAATTGACCTATTAAAATAGAAACATTCTTTGGAAGGAGAAAAGAAGAAATTGTGGTTTTGATAGCATACTATTATTGTTATGTAGTTTTGGTGACATAAAACTTTCATTACTAAAGAAATAAGTTTAATTAGGTCTTCCATTTAAAATGGAAGATTAAAAACACTTCTAACAAAGCTCTAACAAATCTCTGTTTTGACAAGCAATTCATGCTATTATATAAAAGGCTCTTCTCTTATTTTTTGAAATGCATAAGTGGAAACATCTGTCAGAGCACTAAAATATTATGAGGTATACTAGAAAGGCCACGGGAAAACTGAGAAGAGAATCTGTAACCTATCTAAGTAACAGAGTGAAGAGCAAAGTTAATGAATGAAACCATGCTATCAACGAGGAATGGCTGTGTTAAATAGCCAAGATTCACCCATCCCAACACCAAGAGCCTCTTTCCATACCTACCAACTCATTCAACATTTATTAATACTTCCTTGAGTAATGATGCTGTTCTAGTTACTACGAACACAGTACTGAGCAAGCCATGTCCAACATCCTCATCTTGGGGCTGATAAATTAACATAGAAGAATCTTATGGGTTTAGGGGATGTGGGGGGAAGCAAGTGCGATGATGGCCAGGAATAGACACAATCGAATTCAGTGGTAAGGAAAGCCTCATAAGCAAGTGATGTCACCTTGACAAAGGTAATACACTCTGGTGCATTTTTTTCCTGGTCAATAACAGTGTATGAGTTTTTCATGGACTTTTGTCTATCAGAACAAACACAATGACTTTGTCTTTGAAAAAAGAACTATTCCTCATTGTATCTACCACACTCATGGGGAAATCTCTGGCTTAGAATCTGTGACTATTGGGAGTCTTAAACTACAGAGAGAGAGACTAAATAGCTTTAAGTTAGATAATTGGGGGAAGCCTACTAATGGGTATATCATGGCCTCCAATTCCTATGCCATCTCCCTATGCTACCTGGATACCGTCACCAGGTGTTCCCATGATGATGCTCGGTCTCATCCCAGCCTCAAAAGCCACTGACCAGCTGATGCTGAAGTCTCTGAAACCACCTGGCAGAATAAACAATTCTTCCTTATCAATTGTTTATATCTCAGGTATTTTGTCAGTGATGAAAAACTAACACACTTCATGTTCCTGTTATCTGAAGTGTATTTAAACATTTGCTAATGACTAGCGACAGGGGCACAGACAGTCAGGTGCTGCATGTCTTTTGGGCCAGCATCATTCTCTCCACATTCTAGGATAGTATATAGAGCAGTGGAGTGTAATCTGTGAGTAAAATCTAGGTATAAACAAAGTTGAATTTCATTTTAAATCTGACTGGTGAGAGATGTGAGAGAAGCATTGAGTTGAGATCAGCATTGCCTCCAGGTGAGATAACATTTATTCCTAAGTAGTACAGATGACTTTTTGTCCTTCATGTAATTCTGCAGAAATATCTTTTCTGATAATTGACCAATTTTAGGTGAAACTACTGATCTTCCAAAAATACTATTTCTGAGAATTGAGTATTTGAGGTAAAACCCTTTGACAAGCACAAAACACACTGTGATGGTTTTCTGAATTAACTATAATTTAGCTCTTAATTCCAGAAACTCTTTACATGGTATATTAAAAATTCCTCCATCAAGTGAGGGAATTGTGTCATTGCCCAAAAGAGAAATGTACTCTTTACCTGACTTATGTAAATGTAATCTGTTCATGGTAACCATATTTTTTAAAGAGGAACAATGACAAAATAATTCCTCCATCAATTTATACTGATAGTGTAAGAAACCAGTGAGAATTTGAATGCTTCTAAAATACAGATCAATTTCATTTTTCATTCAACTTTAGACAAAGGTATTTCATTCTCCTAATTGCTATTCCTAGGGAATAGAAAAAAAAATTCAATTGGGTGTTGCCAAATAATTCCCTAGGTATAAAAATCTCAATTAGGCATTTATAGAGTGCCTAATTTAGATAATTTAAATGCCCAGGGAACAATTCAAGATAACTAGTCACAAATCGTTCCCCTAGGTAACTTAATGAGAAGATTTGCTGAATAGGATTATTATTAATAAGCCCATTAAATGTTGAAGGACAGCTACTGAAAAATGATCCTTTTGCTTTGGCATGGTTTTAATAAGTCAATCTTTTTAAAATCAGACATCAGCAGAACCATAGAAAATTAACAATTATGAATAATGAGTCAAGTCACAATATGAGCATATGATTTCCTACCATTTTGTAGGAAAGGAGTAAGAGCAAAAGTGAAAAAAATCATACTTTTTAAAACTTGCAAAGCCATCTTAAATAACTAATATTCATCCATTGACTTGGTTTCTAAGGCTTTATAGAATGTATAGCCAACAATCTGTGAAATAATACACTCAAGAATTCAATGTGTGCGCTACAAAATTCAGATGCATAAGGGAAGGGGTGGGTTGTGAGAGATGTGTGAGGATGTTGATAAGGGTGATGTTGATCGAGATGCACTGAGCTCATGACCTACACTGTTAAATGGCAACTCCTCCATAAAACTCGTTAAAGGTAAAAAGGTAAATTATTATAAAATGAAATGAAATACAATAGCATATAAAAAAAGAAATAGTAGGATTTCTGGATTTGTGAGTACCATGGTCTCCATATTTGAGATGTTTGCTATAAACCTTATAGAAGTTAGATATTTGCTATAAATCTTTTTGTTCTTTTTCTTTTTTTAATTGTGAAAATACCATATAGAGGGGTTAAAATTACATGAGCAAGGTAATAAGTACATTTCTTATCAAGCATTTTTGCCTCCTCCCTTGTGTCCCCTTCCCATCCCTTCCCATCTTCCCACCCTCCCCACCCGCACACCAAAGTTGTAAAATTCATTTTTTGACATAATGTCTTGTATGTATCATTGTTGCAATGGGTCCACCTGTATCTCTATTTAAACAATTTATTTCCCTTCCCCTCCACAAATTATACAGACATCAAATACAGTGAAAACAGGAGAAGGACATACAAAGCAACAAAGAAATCATCTTATAAATATGTTAGAAACAATAGCAAGAAAAAAAAAACATTTGAGTTCTTATCTTGGGCTTCATTTCGCCTAACATCAACTCATCTAACCGTTTCTGTTTGTCTCAGACATATAGTAGTTATTGCAAATAAGGGAATCCATGGGACCTATGTTTCTTTGGGCCTGGCTTACTTCACTTCACATAATTTTTTAAGTCTTTCCATTTCCTAACAAATGGGGCAATGTCATTCCTTCTCATGGAAGCATAGAATTCCATTGTGTATATATATCATATTTCCTTGATCCATTTATCTACTGAGGGGCATCTGGGTTGGTTCCATATCTTAGCTATGGTAAATAATGTTGCAGTAAACATAGTTGTGCTGGTAGCTTTAGTATGGTCTTGTTTGTGATCATTTGGGTAAATGTGCAAAAGTGTGATTGCTGGGTCATAGGGGAGCTCTATGTGGAGTCTTTTGAGGAACCTCCATACTACTTTCCAAAGTGGTTGAACAAGTTTACACTCCCATCAACAATGCAGTAAGGTTCCCTTCTGTCCACATACCCTCCAACATCCGTTGTTATTAGAACTCTTGATTATAGCCATTCTAATGAAGAAATGATCAACCTCCCTAGCCATAAAAGAAATGCAAATCATAACAACATTGAGATACCACCTCACCCCAGTGAGAATGACTATAATCAAGATATTTGCTATAAACCTTATAGTATGAACTTTTCTATCACTCAACTTATTATTCAGTATGTGTGTGTATTTTCATATATATATATATATATTATATATCAGAAAGACATACTTCTTTTGATTTGGGAACATTTAAGACTTAGAAGATATTAGCTGGAAAATTAAAAGTATACATTATTTTTCCCTTATTATATCTCACTAAAATTGACTTTGCTCCTCTGGCCTGGTGTAAGCTGAGCCTCACATATTTGCTCATAACCCTCATTGCCCACATACACTAAAGGGAATACATAAATCTAATTTTTCATGGTCAGCACCTCTATACTCTTGCAACCATAGTAATATGTAACAGGCCAATTTACCTTTTTCATAGTTCACATTAAACTATTTTTCTTGATAATCATTTTATTTGTATAAGAATATGTATAACTATTTGTTGTAACTATTTGTTGATCTCCTTCTGTATTGATTGGCAGCTGTATGTTTTATCATTTAGATATGTATTCAGAAATATACTCTGTTCCAGGATGTGTAAAACATACCATTTTCTTTCACAGTAACAAAGAAGAGAAAAATTAAAAGAATCAGTGCTCTGTACTCTTTAACATATGTAGTTATTCACTGTTCAAAAATATTTGATAGTCATATATATGTATATATACATGCACACTATGATATTAATAACTAGAAAACAAGTTCTCTAAATAGCCAAAACTAAATTTATAAAATATCTTAATATCCTACTGAAAATTGCCTCTCATGTTTCTGTTTCTATTGATATAATATAAAATCTCCTAACTCCAAATGTCTGCAGAGGGAAAAGGAGACTTAGTATGTACACTAGAACTACTGCTGCCGGTCCCTAAAGTAATTTCTCTAAAATTGATTTTAAGCTACCAAGTTTATTCAGCTAATTTTTAGCTCATGAAATAGACCACCATTATTATACAGTACCCATGATTCCATATCTATAATCAAACTCGAGAGAAAAATATGAAAAACTAATAGAAAAATGTAAAAATATTTATTGTTATATGTTGTTATATTGGAACTACTAGTACCATATACAATATTCTATATTCTGTATTTTTCTGAGTATGTCTTGATTAATATGCTTATCTTTGTCTCCAAGTGCAAGATTAAATATCACAGTTTTATTGTCAGATGTACGATTTTCATGAAGTCCATAAAGACATTTAATTCTGTTTTATTACTGTAGCTGTGTTCTAACAAATTCTGTCTTCATAATGGATGAGTGAACAATACTCTGTGCTCTATTAAAAGATAACTTTAATGTTATATATGCAGTTAGCTTATAAGCTATAGGAAGTTATGTGCATAGTAATATAGAAGTGTTATAGTCTTCTGTCTGTGATACAGTGTCTGCAAAAATAAAAACAACAGATAAACAGGAATATGCAAGGCTCTGCTTTGTTGCTCTCAGAATACACAAAGAAAAACACAGAGGAATTTGTTAACCAGTTAAAACTACATTCTAAGACCTAAAAGTAGAAGACAGACTGCTGAAGAGGAAGTTGACCAGGAAAAAGTGGAAGAAAGAAAATGGAAAGGGGTAATGAAAGATTGAATATGATCCAAATATGTTATTGTACATATAAAAATATAATAAAGCCTGTTATTTTGTTTAATCAATACATGCTAAGACCATGTTTAAAGTATACTGTGTCATGCTGAATAAGTTTCAACTTATCTAGTTTCTCTTTGCTTCATTGTAGAATTGGTGAAACTTGAGAAACTAATAGACACAGTGCTTTGGAATCTTAGAAGAAATGATCCTAAACACTACTGAAAAAAATATTAAATGGAAAATGCATTTCATATTAAATATTCTTGATAAATCACATTTTAAATATAAAGAAAGGAAATAAGGACAGAGTATTTCTTCCCAAATTCAGCTATTTAGTTAACATTAAGGTAATAGTTAATAATTGTGTAAGTCAAGTAAGACTGTAAGACCATGATGCAGGCAGTTTGACAAAGGGGACAAAGGGAGCAGGGATAAGTAAATCAGATAATGTTTAAAAGCAGAAGGTCTAGTACATCATGCTAACTGTAAGAAGACAATGTGCCAGATGGCTATATTTGGAGGCATAGGTCCTGAGTAGCAGAGATGTGTTGGAATAGTTTTAGGGGTCGATAACTTTATTTAGTCCCCTCTTGCTATAAACTGAGGCTTTAAAGTTTTATATTCTTGTAAGACTTTACTTCCCATTAAGTCACCCAGATTTTAAAAATTTCAGTTTGCCCATCAAAAAAATATAAAAACATATCGCTTTCATAATTTGATTATTACTAGGGTTTTGAGTAAATTGATAGTGTTACATTCCTGATAAATATGCATGCTATGTACAATAGTTTTCTTAGTTTCTAAATTTTACTGTTAGCTAACTAGAAATAAAATTACTACCGGAAAAATATTATGATAGTCTTGAGTTTTTCATGATTTCTTAATAAAAAAAAACACTAATGAGCTGAAAGTTACACAAAAATAAATACCACTATTCAATTAATTAAAGTCCTTGTAAGGTTTATTATTTATTATTTCCTTAGAATGTCTAAGTATTTACCAGTATTTTGTTCTGTAAATTCTTCTGAACATGCTAGTCACAGGTTAGATTCTAAATAGTAGTGCATCTTCTAATCTAATTCAAGAACTGATTCGAGCTTATGTCCCTTAGAGACGCTCTATACTCCATAATGTTTCAAAAGAGCAAAATGTGAATAGTTTAAAACTGGTCTTAAGAGTCAGTTCCTTCCCCTCTCAGTTCCTGTGAGAACCTAAAGAACAGTTCAGAGGTTTTGGTTGGGCCAGAGCCTGAGGCCTACACAGTAGTATCCAAAAGACACATATAGCTATTTATTGCTAGCATGCAAGCTGAGAGAAAAAGTTGTCATACAAAAGGAACATTAGTATTAAATTGAAAAGACTGAAGTGATAAGGTTACTTTTTGAATTGTGAAGTTAAGATCATATTCCCTTTTTATTACTCCTGACAATTTAGATGCTTGAATTTAGAAGCAGCAATATTATATCAATAGAAAATTGTAAATGTTAAGAAAATACCCAAAATATCTGTATACCAGAATTATCTTAGCATATTTTATAGTAGATATATTTTTGGAAAGTTTTGAGGAGAAATTATTTTCCTTAGCATCATTTTCAGAGAAATAGCAAAGATAACAGGGAAACTTTATTAATCATTTTTGCAACCTGTAAACATCATTCTCTCTCCAGACCTATCCAAAGAAACCAGGAGGCTCTTACTAGAGTCCCCTACTCACTAAAAATAAATATTAAAAATTTTAAAAACTATTTCCTTTTCATAAAGTACTCAGTAGTTACTTTCCTTAAATGTGAATGCTAAATCAATCTTACAGTGTGATCCTGATATCTTAAATATGATATTTAAAATAATCCTACCTAAAGTAATTATGATGGTTAAGAAAGATTATATTTGAGTTGCTAATGATGAATGAAAATGCTAATAAAAGCATAACATGTAAAACTTTTTTTAAAAAAATAAGGAAAATGGTACTTAACTCTGACATGCTTAAGAGTTGTGCCTCACACCTGCAAACCATCAGATGGAAGCCTCGATATTGTTTTGTTGTTTTATGCTTAGATTTTTTGCCAAAGAGAAAAATAACATCATAATTTATAAAGTTGAAATTCAGGAATGGCTGATTAGTACTCACCACTGGTGTTAGTGAAGACACATTCACTCCTGATCTATTTAGAAACTCCATAGGCCACTTAATCTCCTAATATAATTTGGAAATGTGGTTAAAAAATCAAGCCATAAGAAAAATACTTACACTTCTGTATTTCACTATGTATTCCAAAATAGGAGCCCCTCCATCATCCTGCTTGGTAATACTGAGTTTAAAGCTCTTCCCACTGCTTGGCTGTCCATGAATGGATGGAGGGCTTGGCTCACCTAGATGGAACACAACATTTTCTTTGTTTACACTTATTTCACATACCTATAAACTGCATTGTAATACAAAGAGCCCTGTCATGTCATCAAAATAGGTGACATTACATTATGCACGCTACAAGCTACATGGATAACTTTTGGGGTAACAAGCCAAATTAGTGTAATTTCAAGACCTAATATATTGTTTATATTGATGTTCCAATGCACTGAGTACAACACTGAGTTGTTCAGGACCAAACCTTAATTTTTATTATTCGGAATGCTTTTTAAATCCTATTTTCCTTATTGATGTAAGTTTTGTAGATATCTTGTGAGCATTATTAAGAGTATGTTGACACATCAAATTATAGTTATTGTAACTAAGAGCAAAGGTAATGGCTAGGCATTAGCTATCTGCTCCAATGAACATTCTCATGCCAAGATGTAGGTTTCAATAAAGTTTGTTATACTCATTAACTTTTGACCATACTGGCCTTTGCTTCACATAGAGATGGCCTTATCACATATATGCTGATGTCATAAACATGCACTGAAGTTAAGAATTGTCTACTGCTACTTAGCAACAGAATTAGAATTCCCTGATGAGAGCCACTGTTGTGACTTGCTTAGTCCGGTGTGACATCTGACTGTATTGGCTCCAACTGTACAAAAAATGGGGAAGTGGCATGTGTATGAGTGTGGATAAGGACATCACACACAAAAACCCTAGTCTGCAATGTTTTAGAAAAGGGTAACAGCCTACTTGGAGGCAAAAACAAGGCAGACAATCTAAGTGCAATAAAGTGAAGGATACTGACTGGGTAAAGTTTCTGAGAATGATTCTACATTATACTAGGCAAAGTTACCTTTATTTCTGAAATAGTGCTCATAAAGGTACACAAGTAAGTATTATATTTGACAGAATGTATGCCATTGGGATAACTATGACAAGAGAATATGCTGGCAGAAAAGAAATGTAAGGTAGAGCTATGTAAAAGTAATGAATACAGGAGTGCTAGATTGTTGTGCAACAAAGTTAAGTGAGCATCCAGATCTGAGCTAATGCATATAATAACACATTTTGAATAAATAAATTAATATTTGCCCCAAAGTATCATTTATTAACTCATGAAATTACTTAATTACGTTGTTGGAAAATCAAAACTTTATAAAATGCTGTATTTGAAGCTCAGCATAAGTGCTAAATTTTGCTTAGAATGTTCTTATTTTACAATATAAATTCAGTTAATAATAGTACTGTATTCATAGTTATATTACTTCAGTAACAGAATTTATAGATAGAAACTATAAATGTGTGTATATATGTATACATTTAAACTTTAGTGTATATCAAGTTTGTTACCATGTTTTAATTGATATTCCCTTTGAAAAAATAAAATTCAGCACAAATCTTATGACTTTTTAGTGGAGAGAAACATAAAACTAATATTTTCTATTTGCTTTCACAATAGCATATTTATATAAAAGTTACCATTTCAAAATAACCACTAGTCATATAAATTAGTGTATGGTAAGCACTTTGCATACATTCTTAAATTTCAACTTCAAAATAATCATCTAGGTATTTTTATAAAAATAGAGGACTGGATGTTTGGATGTTTCCTTCAATGGTAGAGTTTTTGCTTACTATGGATGAGGGCCTAGATCCATACCTAGTACCACACACACACACACACACACACACACACACACACACACAAGCTCACTACATCAACTACCGACTTGGGGAGGGGAGGAAAAGTCCACCGTAGCAAACTAAGAGAGCAGAAATATTACAATTTACAAAGATCATATGAAGTAAATAAAGAATGGTGATTTATAACTAAAGAATCAAAATATGTGTTCTAAGAACAAATCAAGTAAGGTTTCTCTAAATGTGAGAGGATACAAAATAGGAGATGTTACTGGAAGTCTTATTGGCTTGATCACACTTGCATAGAATGCACAGTTGTACTGGAAAGGGAATCAACATCTTCCAACCAGCCTCCCATTCACATGGTGGTGGAATTTAGGAGGACTGAGATATCAGGCTGACCAAGGTGTGTATAGATGGAAAGTAGGAAGGGAAGGTGGTATGGCTGACATTTGTTTTACGTAGATAAGAAACAGATGGATTCAGGGAAGAAAGGGAAGATTAGTTGAGATGAAAGTATTTGGACAACTCATTTGAAAAAATCTGAAGGACTGAAAAAGCAAACATCAAAAAAATCACGTGGGTAATTGTAACCCCTCTGTACAGTATTTTCACAATAAAAAAAAGAGTTGGGTAAATAAATTTTAAAAAATCACATGGTACATTATTTGTTGGTTTGTATGTTCCTCCCATGGTATAACCCCTGTTTTCGCTGAATTTGATGTTGTTGCCCTGCATCTTGTATATACAATTCTATAATTCGAGGAGGGGAAGGGAAATAACAAAATACCTGAAAAAGGATGCAGGTTAACCCATTGTAACAATGAGATGTACAAAACACTATGATGAAAACGAACTTTACAACTTTGGCGATGGGGAGGGGGAGTGGCAGGAGAGGGATAGCTGTGAGAGGAGGCAGCTGTAGAGGTGGGGGGGAAGGGATGATGGTGGAAAACAAAGGAGGAGGCAACAATGCTCAATAGGAAATGTACTCATTACCTTGCTCGTGCAAATGTAACCCCTCTGTACAGCATTTTTACAATAAAAAACGTACAAAAAATTCAAAAACGAAAAAAAACAAACTTCACTGGGAATGGGAAAAAGGGGATTCTTCTGACAGATGTTATAAAAACAAATAAAAAATAGCCCAATTTGATTAAGATTTATTGTGCCCAATAAGGCTGCCTTGTCATGTGCATAAGCATGCTCAACTTTTATAATAGACTTTTCCATACATATTCATATTCTTACACACTCCTATTTATAAATTAGTCAGTCTAAATGAAACAAATCTTAAGATGTGTACCTTAACTTCATATAAATTTAACAGAGTTACATAGCTTCAAACTGTGTAAAAAATAGTTAAATGAGTCATTTCTTCTCCTGAAGCAGTGATGTAAAGGGCTATCATTTTCCTTTTTCTTATGTTTCAGTCCCACATAATATTCATCCAACTCAAATAAAAAAAATAGTCATTCCCTGGTATTGTTATCCTAGCTACTCAGAAGGGTGAGATATGAGGATTGCAGTTCAAAGCCAGCCCAGGCAGGAAAGTCTGTGAGAGTCTTATCTCTAATTAGCCACCAGAAAACTAGAAGTGGTGCTAAAGCACCATTCAAGCCTTGAACTGAAGAGCTCAGGGATAGCACCCAGGCCCAGAATTCAAGCCCCATGACCAACAATAAATAAATAGTTATGCCACATAAAAGAAGAAAATACCAGATAGTATACATATGCTTTTTCTTCTACTCACTGAAGACAAATTGAAGGCTACAATGCAATTAATCAGACTATCAATTTTCTGAAAGTGTGCTTTGTAGTATATGATTCTATTTTACTTTTGTTAAATATATTTTTTTATTGTAAAGATACTGTACAGAGGGGTTACAGTTATGTGAGTAAGGTAATGAGTCCATTTCCTATGGAGCATTGTTACCCTTTCTTTGTTTTCCCCTCCCAATTTTTGCCTAGCACTAAAATACATATATTTTTAGAAATCTGACCTGCCACCTTCTCTAGTAGCCATTCTAACAAAAGCATAAATCATTTCTCAAAAGTATAAGCATATCTCTTTGCATTGAAAAATAACATTGAATTTAATTTGAAAGGGAAGAAAATGGCCAAAGAGAAGGAGGAAGATATAACTACTTACGAACTGGTAATGTCTGGAAGATTTCTATCTTGCTGTAATCTCCTTGTCCTTTTCCATTTACAGCTGCAACCCTGATTTCATAAGTTGTATTTGGTTCCAGGTTGCTCAAAACAACCATTGCTGTAAGAAAAACAATACATACAACCACATTCAATAAACTTTAATAAACAGGTGGCTTATGCAAAACCTGAGTGAATAACTGCACAGAAAAGGTTTCCAGGGTTTAGCTTGAAGACAAAATAAAAAAGCCATTGGAAAAGGGAATATTTTGTCAAAACTGCCTTATTTTCCTCAAGATGAGCTTCCAACACTAAGCAAACAGTTTCAAAGAAGAACATTCAAGGTTTCTTATGTAATATTTAGATTTACAACTTTGGAGTGACTATGAATATTATTTTTCCCATGCTTTAAATGTTCAAGAAATAAGAATGATCACATTAAAGTATATTTATTCTATGTATCCTGAATACTTTACCTACACTAAGTCAGCTAATTCTATATAATTTAATGGAATCATTAAATGAATTTGATTTATTCGAACAAAAGAGACAAAATGTAATAGCCATTAATTTTTACTTTTCTTTAGACCTTTTTTATCTGCCATGTTAGTTTTACAACAAAAGTTCACTGTAACATTTACTTACATACAAATATTGTACTCAAACTCATACCTTTCAGTTCTCTGGATCATCTCTACTGCCCATCTTAAAATAATTTCAACAGGCTTCATTATTTTATTTCACACAGCCTAATAAATTACTCTAGCCATATTCACATTGACCTTCCCCATCTTGCTGATAAGTATCCACTCAATATAACTTGTTTTATTTTCCTGTCATTTACTTTCTTTCTTACTTTGATTGTTAGCATGTATTAATTATATGAAATAGATTGGCATAGCAATTATTATTGTGTGCCATATTACAACAGAATCAGATTACTCTCATCTAGAAAGCATTTGATTTTTATTAGAAATAAAATTCCTCTTAAATCAGAAATGTGGAGATTGTATTCTGGGTCTGCTCTTTTCATCTTTAGAGGTTGAAAAATTGATAATCATATAGCTATTAAACAATTAGAAGAACATTAATTTTAATAATGGATTAAATAATAATAATACCCTTTATCTAAAACTTTACATTTTAAATGAATTCTTTGTATATTTCAAGCCTTAGCTCTTTTGTTCAGCTGAGGATCAGCATTACATTTTTTTTCAATATCAAGATTCTCCTGTGAATGGAGTTTCATATCTGAGCCATTCATCGGGGAAAAGAGCAGAGAGAGGAAAATAAAGTCATGAATGTTATTACAACTCTTGACTCTAACACACCAGGGTAAGGGAGGTGAATAGAGAGGGCTGTTAGATGAACTTCCCAATTACAGGGATAGGTACGAAAGTAAACCTTTCATTTAAAAAGTTTGTTCACACAACATGAATTTGTTTTTTTTTTTTTCAGTTCTGACTACAACGGTCTTGGTACAATACCTTTATTAAGAAGTACATTGACATTCTGTTTAAATAAAGATTATTATGTGATACAGAAAGAACCCCTTATAGGGTCCAAATTAGAGAGGGAAAAGGGGGAATTTCAGGAGAGGCAAATCTGGATCTATAATTTGACTTTCATTTTAAAAAATAAGAGGATATATACATTAATCCATCCACAATTTACTGGAATGTTAACAAAAGCAGGGTTTTTGAACACCTAAGGTGGGGATTTAAAGCAAATTACCACTTGAAACATGGGAGGTTGTGTACTCTATAATAGATCATTCCTCAAATTAGGAAGTTAGCTAATGGAAGAATAGAAGTACAAACTGAAGTGTAGGATGGGTTCTTTCCCCTATAATTTATTAGAAATTCAGACTTAGAAATTAGGTATAAGTAAAGCTAGATTACAAAGTAGTAAATGTTCTCTCAGGACAAATTCTATAATGGATACATTTTACATCTTCATTAAATCAGCATGCTTTGGAAATCGCAAGGTAACCTTTCAAAAACTTAAACAATCATGTATTTTTCTTTGTTATGGCAACAAGTAGGAGTTCCATACAGAACCTTGTTTCTGTTACTTGTTTTGTGTTTCTGCTTGATTTAAATATGAAAGCTTCATAAACTGGCTTTGGTTTATAAATGTAAAATCCTGACCATAAATGCAAATTACACATTAAAATAATGACATACAAATTGATAAATGAAAGGAAATTGCACTCTTCCACCTTGTTTCCACAAATGTGTAAATGACAGGAAAGAGAAAGATGAAACAAACAGTATTATTGCATAAAAGAATCTGACTTTATCACAAGGACTTGAAATAAGCTTCTGTTTGCTTAGATAATGTACTTTTAATCCCTTGAGTATTCACAGATGCAGCACAAGAAATTTCTTATGTGGTAATTAGCTAGGCTAAATAAAATTCTAAAGCAAGATTAAATTTATCCATGGCTTCTTTGCTGTTTTAATTCTTGGAAGGCTCTAAGGGTTTTTCCCATGATCAATGTGAGCGGATAAGCCCTTGTCCGGGTGGACCTTTTGTACCACAGACTTAGAATGAAACACATCAGGAAGCCAAAATGGATGAAACAATTCCAACAGCAATGAGAAATCATAAACTTTAGCTTCGGTAGAACTGTTCATTCAAAATTTCGCATTTTAATCTCATCAGATACATTTGAAAATTCAATTAAATCCCTACAGTTTTCTAGCTAAGAAGCAGACTTTGTTCTGTAAAACATTAAAACAAGCCAAAACAAGTTTTACAATTTTGTTTCATTCCATTGGAGAAATTAATTCTTCTGAAACAATTTCCAATAGGTATGAATAATGATAAAAATATTTATGCATCTATACACACATCTATACACACTATATATCTATCTATAAATATATAATACATTTCATATAATATATGTTATATACATGGAATGTGTGTAGGTACATTATTATTTGAAGTGTCTGTTTTCTTCACAACTTTATGTAAATAATCTCAGTTCAATGATTTCCATCTACTTTTGTAATTTAAGTGTGCATTTTGCATTATAATCATTAATTATAGTATCTAGTTCCCAAGAGTTGTATAAAAATGCAATTGCATCTAAATAAAAAGTATTTTAGGTTTTTTATGAGTCCTAATATACAACATGTATAATAGAGAAATTGACATAATAACATTTATATGTATTTCCAAATTAAATAATCAATTTATATATATTTTTCCTAAACCATAGGAAATTATGATACACTATTTTTCAAATTCTTTTTTTTAGTACTTGATTACAGAAATTAAATATCGCAATTCAGAACTTCTGGATTTTCAGTATTTATACTAGTGACTTGTGCTCTTTGCTAATATACATTATGAATAATAACACAAAGTAAATTAATTTTTAACAAGAAAAACATTACATCTTGAAATTAAATTATCGTAACTGATATACAAAATTGTTCTTAAAACTATTCCTGAAAACATTTCCAACTAATAAATTGCCTCATAAATACTATGTTATTTTTTCATTTCAGGATTTTCTATCCTAAAAAACTTATTTAATAAATAAGAGCTCAAATTGCACAATACTTTAAGCTTCTGATAGTACAGAATATAGGGTTGGCATAATCCTTAACTAAGGAATGCCTCTATTAGTCAACTAAAAGAACAGATTTTCAGGAAATTCTCCATATCTTGGTGGTTGAATGCTTCACAAAATGGTTAGTATTAATTTTTAATCATGTCTCTTGCCCTTAAGAAGAAGGAAGTCAGGGAAAACCAGACTCTTGCTTAGACAATTGGTTTAGCACCTTTATCAGTGAAACACACAGATACCACCTCAATTTGATAAAAACCTAGGCTTTTTATCTCATTGTCAATTTATGTATTCCTCATTTGTCTAAGACATCCTAGGAATGTGACTTACTGTCACTTTCAATGGTATCTATAGCATTACTTGCTGATTACTTAAAATTTAACCTTTCTTTATGGATGTTCCTTTCTTTCTTTGTCTATTTTCTATCTGTTGGGGACCTCACAAGATTTTCTGTTAATGTATTATTAAGTCAATACAGTGCTTTCCACTTTGCACCCCAATAGTTTTCAGGTTTCTATTAGTTGGAAGAATTTCAAAGCTCCTTCCATATTTTCAGGTATTTGTTATAAGAGTACATCTGCATTTATCACTTCTTCTCCTAATCAGTTTAAGGCCATAATCACAAAATATCATAGACCAAGTGGCTTATAAAAAGAAGACATTTATTTCTCCTAGGCTTGAAGTCTGTGAAAATCAAAATTCGGATTCCTAGACATTGGATTTATGATGGGAAGGAGAAAGTCACATTTTGATGTCCCTTTCATGAAGGCCCTATTCCTATTCATGATGACTTTGACCTCAATACGTTAGCATCTCTCAAGAACACTTCTAAATATTATCATATTGGCTAGTATATTTCCACACATGATTCTGAAGAGATAAAAATGCAACCAATAGCAGTTTTCTTCTTGTAGTTTTATCATTTACAATTATTACCCTTAAGTATTGAGTTGATTACCTTAGATATTAGATACCTGAATATTATACTGAATACATTTTCCCAGTTCTTATCAATCCAAATTTATACTATTCATCTTCATGAATATTTAGCACTTAGATATTGAGAAAATAAAGTTAATCTTATAGATCACAGGAGCATGTAGTCACAGTAAAAATGTGAAGATGAGGGATTTCAAACAGTATTAGATTTCACTGATTAATAAAGGTCTGATTCTTACAGAAAAGACATTAATAAACCACGTCTCCCTATTTTACATTCTGAATAATTTATTTTGTCATTTTTGAGTGTTGAATTTATCAATATACTCCATATATCTCATTTAAAATTTACACTCACATGTCAAATAAGGAAGAATAAACTGTTTTCCCTGTAATATTGATATTTTATACAATGGAATAAACCAAGTCTTGCAGTGATATTGGAAATTTCTTGGAATGATTAAGAATCAAAATTAGTGCATGTATACATAATTGGCCCAAATTTTGTTTATTTGTATTTAAATATAAGCTTTTTCTCTCTTTAATTTTCAGGAATTCATACTGATATTTCTTTGGAAACTCCTGGCGATTCTTATATT